ATGCATCAGGCATTAAATGCACGAACATTTCTTTAGAACTGCTTAGCTGAAGTTTATCACGATCATTCAGCCATTGCCTAGCAACTTGTAAAGGCTATCAAAGAGCTCTTTGTCCTCAGTCCTGGCAAAAACAGCCCCTCACAGCTTTCCTTATCAGCATTAGAACATTTATCAGGAAAAAATGCCTTCACTGAACCAGAGTTTGCTGCAAATTTAAAGCTACCCTCTTCTCGTTTTGCCCCTTCTTCCAAATATTTTGGGAAGCTATTTCCTGAAGTAACTTGTGTTGAAGTTTTATCTGTTCTTTTAAAACATTCCAGCGAAATTTCTTGAAGATGCACAAAATTCTATTGCTTTATAATCAATATTTAAAATACAGAACTAAGCTCCTAAAAGTATACCTTCTCAAAAATGAGCAAGGCAGGCATTACCTAGAAAGAGTAACTGTTGTAAGTACACACATTATAAATTTGTTGGGCTTCCTGGCTTGAACAAAGACTTCTTCGGGGAAGCTAAGAATGTTTTAGTTGCTCTATCCAGTTGGAAAGTGGTCTGGAATATCATGTACAGAAGAGGGACTCTGCTTATTGATTCATTAAACAAATATTTAACACCATCCATGTACTAGCCACTGTGGAAAGCAAAAAACAGGCTCCATTTCTTTCATAGAGCTGCCAGAATTAATCAATTACCTGGGCTAGGTATGGTGATTAGGGTGGTATGTCAACTTGATTGGCTTTGGAATCTGCCCAGGGAATTTGGTGGAGCATACTTTTGGATGTATGGATAAAGCAAGGAATCATGACCTTGGGGTTTATGTCTGTTCCTTGGCCCTTGCCTCTTTGGCAATATTTTCTGCTCTGATTCCCTGCTATCATGAACTAAGCATCATTTCTCTACCATACCCTTCCACCATGATGTTTCTACCTTGGAGCCAGCAACCATGGACTGAATCCTCTGAGACCATGGGCCAAATTAAACATCTTCTTCTTTAAGTTGTGAGTGTCAGATATCATACCTTAGTGACGAGAAAACTAACTAATATGGTGGGGTAAGGAACATAAGGATCCCTCACAACTCATCTTCCCTTACACACTACCTGTCGTTGATTCAGTTGAATGCCTTGTCACATTTACTATTTTTCACTTGGGTAACCCCAGTGGCCATTTGATTTACTTTCTTTCTTCTAGACTCACCTCCTCAAACTATCTTCTGTCCTCCTATAAAATACAAATTCAGTCAAACCCATTCCTTCTGAAAACTTGTGCATTTGGCCCCGCATACCACCAGAAGGAGGTAAATACTGCTCATATGACATTCTGGCTTTTCTCCCTGAAGCCACTGCTTGGCTGCCAAGCCCACATATCTTACCAATTCTTACCAGCCCTTGAGTTTCAATTGTACCCAATTTTTGTGATTCCTAAAGGAAAAGTGTATACTGGTTTGGGCCTCTGTGGTGGTTAGGGCACAGCATTAACTTTCATCGGCTTTGGGATCCACCCCAGAGATTGGTGGAGCAAACTTCTAGGTGCATCATGGGGATGTGGCCTTGGGACCTATATTTAGTCCCTCACCCTTTCCTCTCTGGGGCTCTTCCCCTGTTCTCCTTCTTGATCACCATGAACTAAGTGGGTTTTCTGTACCTTGCCCTTCTACCGTAATATTCCTGCCACAGAACCAGCCAAATTAGGGGTTAACTTAAATCTTTCCTCCTTTTAGTTGTGGGTGTCAGGCATTATGTCCCAGCAAAGAAAAGCCAAGTAATGCAGCCTCTGAGGCTGGCATCCACTGTTCCCTCAACACAGACCCTTCCTCCTTCCTTTGCAAGCTACCTCCCTCCCTGACCATGATCCCCAGACAGAGCTTGTGGTGACTTGGTCTGGGGCCATTAGCACCCTGGAGTTACCCTTTTCAGAGAATATTCCATCAGTAAGCCAGCAGCTAGCTATACTCTCTGAATGTTCATTGACTTCAGTTCGCTTTTTTGTATTTTTACAAATAAGGAAACAAAAGGATATCTTAGTTTAGCAAAATTGACAAAGAATGTGATGAGAGCAATACAAATAATTAAGGAATAAAATACACACACACGTGCACACTTGCACATCAAATTCCCCCAATTCTTTAAAAGCAAACTTATAACATGTTAGCTTGGGGTACATCTCACTGCAAGGTTGTCCTTACATGAAGGACACGTCAGCTGCCTTATACCTAGATGTGACTTAGAGAAGCACTTACCCAATACTCCTTCCATGAGCCTAATTGCCTGAAATGTCACAGTTAGATATTTGTTTCTTAGACTTTTAAAAGTGTGTGCTATATTAAAATATTAATATTCTCCAGGGGATTTTCACCTCAGGAGGAATAGGTTTATCTTATCCTTCCATGATTCAGAAGTCTGAGAGGAGGAGTAGCAGTTGGAGAAAAGATGCAGCAGAGGGAGGAAGACAGCGTCCCACTTTTCCCTAGATTTGCCCCTAAGACATTCAGATATTTGACTTCAAGAAGATGAGGTATTAATATCTTCGATGTGGTGGCTCATTTTTACTGATGATAGAGTAAAAGAAAAGAACTTGAATTTTTAAGCGGGTGTTGGTAATAGAATGTTTATAACTTACATTCAAAGGAAAGATTTCTTTCATTCCTAAAGTAAAAGTTATCTGAAAATAAGGCTGGTTCTGCTGAAATATGCTTATATTATTGGTGACAGAAGGTTGATAGATGACCTGTAGAGTTCTCCACCAGACTGGAAAAGAAATGGTGAGTAAATTGTATGAAACAAGCTTAACTTGCTATTGAGTCCTAGCTACAGTCTCCTTGCTATAGTGTGGGCCTTGTTACTTATGAGAAAATTACCTTGATAAAGTTGATGATGACTAATGGTTATACTAACCAGGTGGTCAAACCTCTTAAGGGAAGAGGAATCAGACATGAAATAAAGGATCACTTTATTCAGATTGCCAATCTTATCTGTAACATGCTGTGATTGAGAGAGTGCTAAGCTATACGTAAATCATAGCCTATAATATAAAAAACAGCATATACTTTTGAGCTGAAGCGTACTCCATTCTTCTTAACTGAATTTAAGAGTGATATGAAGTAGTCATTTGGCAAGTAACTGATAAACTAAATTGCCATAAATGGCTAAATCTCATTTCTCCAAAACTCCACCCCACCAAAAAAGCATAAAAAATCAAGACTAATTTCCAGGATGATTATCAGATTAATCAGATAATTATGCACTTTCCACTCTTTAAACTTCTCATTGAGGTTTGACTGAGGGACTCCAGACCAAAATGTCCAGGAGTGTCTGATTGCTATGAAGCAGTGTATCCATCTTAGCCACTGTTAAACAGGAGTCAAAGTTTAGGATCTGAATTTGAATTGAGAGTAAAGTCTGTAGTGAGTTACCCTTGTTGACACTTTCTTTAAATTCACAAAGGAAAGTTTAAGTTCACAGCTTCCTTTTGGAATAGACAACTACTCAGTATGTTCGATGCTTCTGACTAATATAGCTGTTGGTAAAATGATCAGCAAGACTAAGGTTAGAATTTACAATTTTATTTCAGCTTTCTAAAATATGTTTGCAAAGAAATATAATCTATTTGTCAACATAAGAAGAAATTCCATAGTAGGTCCAAATTCTATATTTTATCTTATAGGGAACATTTAAACCCCAGTTAGTTTTATAAACATGTCTGGTCTCCTTTTTCCAGTCAGCAATCTGAGCTGAAGTATAGGTCTGTTGTTGATTCAAGATGGACACGATAAGGTCTGGGTGCTTTGGTGCCTACTTTGTAGCCTATACCATGTGAGAGACTTTCAGAAGGAGAAAAGTGGAACAATAAAAAGAGAAAAGAGGGTTCTTATTCAGCAGAAGTGGCCCTGTACCCGTTAGTTGCATCCATGCTTTAGTCAGGGACAGCTTCCAAATTAAGCATTAAGGTTCAAACCATGGTGATTTTTCTCCTAATCACTTTCTAAGCAAAAGCTGTCAGACAAACCATGGCCTGCACTGCATCCTGGGTGCTGGGTGGTTGGTTTTTAGCTTTGGAATCCTGGAGAGTGTGTGTGCTTCTTCTTACCATATTTTAATTTGGTCTAAAGCCAACAGTCACTACTTCACTACTAATTATAACTCATTGCCTTTCAATGTGAAGAGCGTTTCTTTGAGCTGTGAAGAATTTTGACTGACAGAAAGAGGGCCCATTGTATTTCAAATACAGATTTACAAGAGACTTCCCTTTACCTCATATAAAACCTGGTTTAAATTTTTTTACAACCTCAATTTTTCTTTATGTTTCCTTTAGGCATTTGTTTGTTCATTCATGGCAGATTCTAAAGTTTCTTTGTTTCCAAAATGAGAATTAAATACCTATACACAGTTTCATAATAATCAATAGTGTAGACTATAGCTATAAATAATGTCAGTTGTGCTATGCTGCTTATCTCTGTCCAATGTGAGATTAAATTTTTAAGGAAGAATTTGGTGACACATTAGTACATCTTTCGGTTCTGCACAGTGTGTCATCAAAATATTTTAAGATTGTGTTTATGTATGTATTTACTCCAGGGTAGCATTTTCTTGATGTAAATAAAATAGTTTAACCATCCTGCTGTGCCTTATCATTGTAGACGATGTTCATTTCTCTGTGAAAACAAAGAGTAGGGGGAAGAAGGAAATCAATACTATTTCTGATAAATTTTGCCTTCAATAGACAGAGCCCTTGGGCTTTCCTGTTGCTCCTTGCTATTAAAGAAATAAAATCAATATAGCAGAGGTATTTTACTCCTTCATAGCTGCATAGAAAAATAGCTCTGGGTATTATTTTAATGTTATAATGATATTGTGTCAGTGTGTGTAAGATGACAACTGAATTTTAAACCTGATGTCATCTCTGCTCATTGTTGCCCATGGTGCTCAGTTTTAATATTGTGAGCTTGGGCCTCATCTTCCAATGAACGTCCACGGAAGCCCTGCCCTGTGTGCCTCATTGCAGGTGTGCACTGTGACAGCGTGTGTGCCGAGGGACGCTGGGGCCCCAACTGCTCCCTGCCCTGCTACTGTAAAAATGGGGCTTCGTGCTCCCCTGATGATGGTATCTGTGAATGTGCACCTGGATTCCGAGGCACCACTTGCCAGAGAAGTAAGTGTTTCATCGGGCAATAATTTCCATCTTCCCTTCCTGACACACCATGGGCAGAATGATGATCTCTGTTCCACCCTTAGTTTATAGTGGTTCTGTTGCCCCAAGTTTAGAGGAAGTGGCGACAGGTCACCTGTCCTTTGCAAAACTGTCCTCCGCAGCGCTTCCCCAAGAACTTTATTTTTTCAACCTACAGGACTAACCACTTCTTTGCAGTAATACCTTCACTGCCTCATTGGCACCATCATCAAGACGTGATTCTTCCTTAGACCTTGCAAATGGTGTTCTAGAAATCCACTGACCTGTAAATATTTTATTAAGCAATTTGGCATTGTCCTTACCTCAATTACCAGAAGTCAACATCAGCCAGACCTTGAGGCTAATCATATGTCCTGCTATGTCTCAAAGTCAGTGCTATGGGGAAAGCAGAATCGCCAAGTTAAAAATGGGGACTGTTGATATGGTCAATAGAATTCTTGAGTTAGGAAATTATCCATAACATTTGACTAAGTCTTTTAGTAAATGCAATTTAAAAAGAATATATGATTAATTATAAAATACACTATATTAATTTTTAAATTGTCCCCTTTTTCCATTTGGATCTCTATGTAGTCATCCTTTATTTAAACCTAAGTAAGGTCTTGGGAAGCACCTAAATATGTAGCATTTTGCTTATTTACTTTCCGATCACAATTATCAACCTGAACCATTTGGAGGGGGAAAGATCTAATTTTGACTGTGGATCTGTTTATTGCCAAAATGATTCTAAAGAGTAAAGGATGAACAAATAACTTTGGGGTACTTATTTGAGATTACTAGTATTTAAATTTTAATTTCTTCATTCCTCTATCCATTCAAGAAAAATTATTTGAGCCCTGGCTTCTGCCCATCCTTGAATTATTTATAGGGCTAGGGCCCTCAAATTGGAAAATAAAGAGAACTAAGACATCTGCTTGGCCTGCAGGAATTCATCCTGGCTTTAGTGGCATCTTTCCCCTATTAAACAGTGCCCTTGTTCCTCTTGTCATTCTTATTTTATACTTGGAAAATTCTCAGTATCATTTTTTTAAAGGTTTTTTTCCTGCAAAACTTTAATGAGATCTTTATGTGGAAATGAGATAAATACATCTCAGAAAGATAACTGTTGATTTCCCTCCTGCTTTCAGTATGCTCCCCTGGTTTTTATGGGCATCGCTGCAGCCAGACATGCCCACACTGTGTCCACAGCAGCGGGCCCTGCCACCACATCACAGGCCTATGTGACTGCTTGCCTGGCTTCACAGGTGCCCTCTGTAATGAAGGTAAGGCTCATAAGCATTTTAGAGAAATGTATGTTGAAGAGCAAGCCCTACCATCTCTGTTTGTAGACTACTGAAGGACGTGTTTTCACCCATGAGCTCTTGATGGCTCCTGATTGAGAGATGCGCAGCTTCCAAAATGACTTTGAGCTTTAGAAATGCTGGCTTGTCATGTCAGCAAGACCTTTATCTCTGAGGCATGCTAGTCTTCAGTTTTATTTGGGAACATCCTCCCATGAAAAATTAATGCGAGGAAGGATTTTGACTCCCTGAATGAGAAGCCATTCAGTCAGCTTTCTAGAAATGTGATGAAGTCTCCTGACTAATTATCCTTAATGAGAGTCTTTGGCTTTGTAGGTTTATAAAAATGAGCTCAGGTAGGATGAGTGGTGCTGCTGAGCAGAGGCAGCTACTAAAGGGGCAACTGGGCTAGCGACCTTTGAAGTCATTTCCTGTCCTAGGGCCTAGGGTCTCGAGAGAGGGTTTGTTATTGTGAGCTACTGACCTATGGCTTATTCACAGTGTGTCCCAGTGGCAGATTTGGGAAAAACTGTGCAGGAATTTGCACTTGCACCAACAATGGCACCTGTAACCCCATTGACAGATCTTGTCAGTGCTATCCAGGTTGGATCGGCAGTGACTGCTCCCAACGTAAGTCTTGTTGCAGAACAACTGAACCATGATTCTTTGATTTCAAGTGCCTTAGGATTAAAGTGTGAGTGTTTATACAATCAAGAAAGGAGATATGACCAATTAAAAATTGCATTCTAGTTTTTAAATTCCTTTCCTTCTGTTGCATTCTTTGCAGTGATTCTAAGGATAAATCAAAATGTGTTGGAAAGAACCTAACTAACTAACATTTTGTTGACTCACTTTTCAATGATTCACTATCCATTGAAGTATAATTAGAAGTCCACCTCTTCATTGTGCATTTACCTGGAGAGTTAATAAGAGGAGTTAAGAAATAGAATTTAAATGATGCAAGCCTAAGATACCTGCTCTGTCTCCTGAGCACACTGCCCACCTACCTGCAGTTCACAGCAGATGCTTGCTGTGCTGCTGAATAAGACCAGGACTGTCTGAGGAACTGTGCAGGTGACTTTTAGAATTACCCAGGTCATGAGAAGATGACATTGACCAGAAGTCACTTGTTTAATTCTGTGAAAGAGTCAGTACAACTTCTAAAAGTATTCAGCTTTTGATCATGGATAGTCTATGTGCTGTACAGGGAGAATCTGGATCCTGTCATTAAAAATGCCACACTAAGGGCCAGGGATTTAGCTCAGTGGTTCCATTGCCTGCCTTGCAAGTGCAAGGTCCCAGTACCAAAAAAAAAAAAAGCCACACTACATGCTCAGTTCCTATTTAATCCACCTATCGAGCACATAAGAGAACAAAGAATGACTACATACTGATTTTACATTGTGTTTTATTGGCCATTTAATTCAGACTCCACATTTATAATCGATCTGCAAGTACTTATTAATAAATGATGTATTTTTTTCTGAAGATTTGTTCTGAATGTTTGGTTTTGCTTGATCTGTTCAACCTGTGTCCATTTGTGAGGAGTAAGAAGGCAGAGCTCACTGACCTGGGAAGTGTAGCTCTTTGGAGAAGCATTAGTAGAAGGAATTCTGTGGTGCATTTCACTCTAGTTGGGGGACATCATTTCAGACATAGCTGCAGTCTACTTAAATCTACATGTGTTGTAGGGTCTCTGATTGAGGTTGGCATATGGACAGCTCAAGGGATAGGTACTAAAACCAAATGGCAGGATTTGAGGAGGAAAAATAAAAGACCCAATATTAGGGCCACTGCACGATTGATATACTTTGCTCCTATTAAAATTAGTCCTTATTTTGGAAGTTGGTCACTTCCTCATTTGGAGAAGAAATGTGCTGAAAGGAACAAAAATGGGAACACTACTATGAATGGTGACAATAGTGTTGCCTGTCCCATAATCACTCCAGAGGAAGTTGATTTATTTGGCAAAAGACTTTCCTTCTCACGGGGATCATTGACCTCACTGATTCCCTGATGAACTCTGTGCAGTCGTTTAAATAGTTCTTCTTGGCTGATTGTCAATCTGTTTAAAAAGAGAAAAGTGAAAAGAGACTTTGAAAATTAAAGGTGTGCATTTAAAGGGATAGGTATCCTTGGCAAAATGATTTTTTAAAGCCCCATTTCTACATTTACCTTTTGGGAATGTAAAAGTCTGTGATTCTTATTCCCACTCTATAATCATAACTAATATAACATAGCAAGTGAGACCTAATACAAATAGTTACCTTAGCATCCATCATTCTTTGCCCTATCTACTAATTTTTTTTCTATAGCATTTACCATTATTGTTTTTTTCAGTTGGTTAGTTGATTGTTTGACCTCCTGTACTAAAATATAAGCATCCAGAAAGTAGTTTAGACTTTGTCTTGTTCTTTACTATCTATTTGCCTAGCGCCAGAACAGTGTTGGACGCATAGAAGGTATTGTATGTGTGTTTGTTTAAAAACTGAATCTGTAAACTTGGGATGATTCTTGCTCCAGTGCCAAACTCTATTGTTGTAAATTAATATGTATGTCAGTGATAATGGTCATTGAAGAGATCAAATTGCTTTGTGGGTTTTAGCAAAGAATTTGGGGTTTCTGCACAACATTGTGAGCTTCGTATTCTTTCTTGTCCTGATGTTCTCTGCTCCCTTATACAAGGAGATGTGTAGGGGTAGATGGAACTCTGCCTGGTGCTGGCCTCAGAATCTAACACACTTCTCCATGCTTATTGTGGTTTCAGCCTGTCCACCTGTGCATTGGGGCCCAAACTGCATCCACACTTGCAACTGCCACAATGGAGCCTTCTGCAGTGCCTACGATGGAGAATGTAAATGCACTCCTGGCTGGACAGGGCTCTACTGCACTCAGAGTAAGCCTTGGGAGGAAGCAGCCTCACACCTTGCATGTACTAGTTGGGTTTACTAAGGGGCTCTGGAGTGGATTACTTCATCTATACAATCTAGACATCTGAATTACTATAAATGGTTAAGACCCACTTTCTTCCAAGCATTCTGTCTCCAGATTGTATAGGGACACTGAGGTGGAAGCAGTGCTATATGATGGTATATAATTTCTGTCTCTTTGCTCTTTTAATTCAACCCTATTTATATGGATGAAATTCTGTATCATTTATTCTAGTAGCACATAGGTTAAGATAATAAAGATTAGAAAAGTAATGAAGACAGCAAGACTCACTGCCTAACAAGGTGGACCACTGGAGAAGATGGAATCCAGTGGTTCTCAACCTTCAGCAGGGTTCACAATCACCTAGAGAAGCCAATATATAGAGAATGCTGTTCCCCTTCCTAGAGTGTCTGATCCAGTAGATCTGGGCTGGGACCTGTGGATTTGCATTTCTGTCATCTGGTGGGAATGTCAACCCAGGACCATGCTTTGGGAAGTACAGCTCTAGTTATTTTTCTCATTTAGTACCCATATTGCCCTAACCATTTTTTCCATGATGTTTTAGCATCATAGGATATAATGTGCAAAGTTTTCCACAGCTGAGCATCATTGGGGGGAAAAATTGCCCCTCTTGCTTTTAATTAAATAATTGAGACCAGACAGAAACATGTATTATGCATATTATTATTAATAATATATAATTTAAAATTTTAGCAAAGGGCCAAAGAGGAAAAATGGATCAGAAATTAGGGAATTCTTATTTAATACTAATAAATGGATATAGTTAAAGAATAGTCTGAGCGAGACTTTTGGAAAATTCTAGAAGGGAGAGTAGCTGTTGAACCAAGATTTGAAAGGGAAAATTGGCAAGGAAAACGGTTGTCTATGACATATTTTCCAGAAGTTGTATATCAATAAAAACTCCTTAAATAACTCCTTAGAGAAAAGTACTTATAAGATAGTGTTTATAATTCTAAAATTAGGGCTTGCTTCAAACAGAAAGCCTTTTTAAATGGACGTAACATGATGAAGTGGAAACCACATGGGGTATGGAGGCAGACTGCCCTGTGTTTGTATTGTGGTCCTGCCTTCCTGCCATTTGCTAGTGTGTATTAGGGCACTCAAGGCTGTGTTCCTACCTATAAGATGAGAATGTCTGTCCCTGCATTTCTGGGCTGCTGTAAAGATTAAATGAGAGAATGTATGAGAGGAATCTGGCACAGAGAAAGTGCCAAATAAACAAATGTCATTGGGGATGCCATTGTTTGCTGGTATCTGTGTTCTGGCTCTGCTTATTAAAAGTTGGGCTTTCTTTAAACTTCACCATAAGAAAACAGGAAAATAAAACGCATGTGTACTGTTTGGGAACAACCATTGAGTCAGCCTCTATCCAAGCTTTATTATGCCAGAGAGCCCTGAAACTTGCTCGCAGAGCAGCTACTAGCCTGTGTAAACCAACAGAGCTTATTTGTATCTTTAGCTCTAGGGTCCTCAGGGTTTAAGCCTTGGAAATCATCCAGCAGTGTGAAGACTTATGCTTTTTTTAAAGCACCTGTGAAGCAGAGTTGTTTTTTAGGTAAGCACTCTGCCACACATCTTTGGTGGAGGTGACGATATCATCGAATTTAATAGTGGGTACAGCAGACAAGTCTAGTAGCGAGTTGGAGGCATCCTCTACTACAAGCAAAAGCATACAGACAATTGTAATATAAAGTACTCATTTCAGTCTAGGGAATTTGAGTCCAGGATTGTAGTAGTTGAATGAAGGATGAAAGAAAATACCCTAGAGTTCCCAGGCTTCATGGGCTGCTTTGTTGGAAGACACTAGTCTTACCCCTAGGGTACCAGTGACAGTTATACTGACTAGCATGGAATTCTTCTGCCTCCTGCTTGTGAATTACAACCTTTTTGCAAGGCCCTATATTTGGACTTCTAAGAAGCCCTGTGACAAGCTGAGATATGCACTTTTGCTTTTGCTGTCCAATGGCTCAGCATCCTTTAAATTTACACACACATATGTTGGAGGCTGGAACTGTGTTTCTCTCCAGCAGCCTTCTGACTTCTGCTGTCCCTCTCTTTGCACAGGATGCCCTCTGGGGTTTTATGGCAAGGACTGTACACTGATATGCCAGTGTCAGAATGGAGCCGACTGCGACCACATCTCTGGGCAGTGTACCTGCCGCACGGGATTCATGGGCAGGCACTGCGAGCAGAGTGAGTATGGGAGCCTCACATCAATAGCCTGGGTGCTATTTTTTTCCTTTAAAATCAACTCTCCTGGATTTCTGGAAATATTAAGGCAGAATTACTGCAACTTTCAAGTGGTGTGAGGGGATGGCTGGTTACTTACTAGCACAGTTGAATTTCCTCCCAGGGAACTGCCTCTCTGGAGTCCCTGCTGGCTGTCTTTCTCTCCAGATACTTCTTAGAAATTAAATGCTGGGCACTGGGTGGAGGAGGTGTAAATGCCAGAGGGAAGACAGAATTCAAGTTTTCCATTCTGTTGTTTTTGGCTCTCCTTTCTTTTCTCTCATTTTTGGAAATTGGCTGCTCAGAAACAGTCCAGATTTCTTCTTTGCAGAGGGAAGTCCAGATTTACTCTAGAGAACAGGGCATTAGGTGGGGAGGAGGCCTGGGGGCCCACAGTCAGCACCACCAGTTGCTGGTGTGGTACCAAGTCCATGCAGAGATTGCCACCCTTTTGACAGCCTTTTCTAGATAGAACTTTTATACTGTTTCCAATAACAGCTTCTCACCTTAGTCCTAACCTTCAAAATCACCTTAAAGACCTTTTTTCCTAAATCCTATTCAGAGACAATACGTTCTGTTGGAATTATCCACCCTTGTTTTTCCATTTCCACTCACCTGCTATGTATCTCACAGGGATAGCCTTAAAATGAGTGTTTTGGATGAGCTTATTGTTGATTTCCTCTGTGACTTTCTTTCAGTGAATAAATAAGGACTGTGAGCTATGAGGGTCTCACTTTCTTATGGTACAAGCCATAGAGGCAGGAGAAGCGTCCAGAGGGTGTACTCTTGAGAAGGGTATAGCAAAGATCAGTGGGCAGTGTGGCCTGAAAGGTGGACCATCACAGCAGGACACTGCCAATGAGGTGCCTCTCCCTCCACTCCACCAGCATCGAAGAGCTCTTGGGTAGCCAGGTGGTCTCAATCTTGTGTGCTAAATATCTTTGCAAGTCTTCCTACTAGCAAAAACACCAAGAGTGACACACAGGAATTAGCTCAAGACAGACGGATCCCAAAATTAGCTTTGCATTGTTGTTTCATTTAATTATAAAACAGAAGTGAATCACATGACCACATGCGGAGTTCTCCTTGCACCTATAAGTACTACATGTATGTATGTGTATAAATGTATACACATGGGCACAGAAACCAGAATAGCCTCTAACCTGACTTTCACTTGAATGTCAGATGACTGGTTAAGGTCTTCTTAAATAAAAATGTCTTAAGTGCTTCTGTGATTTCTCTGAATATCAAATTTGTCTGTATTTTTGAAGATTTTTCCCAATGTTCATTTGTAAACAGAAACCCCACTTGTCAGAGAACTCTGATAATAATATGTTGCCCTCTGCTGCTCACTTTATGAAAAACACCAGAATTTTGTTGAATATTTTTAGATGGAGCATTCCTATGCTATTCTTTGACATCCCTGTACAACTCTCATTTCATAAGATCCCTACTGTTTTAGTCTCTGACACTTCAACTTGCAAATCCAGAGTCTGAACCATTGTAGGGAAAATGAAATTCTTATTTAGAAAGTAAACAAAACTTACCCTCCTCCTCTTCACCTACTCCCAGATAATCCAAGTGAGAATGTGTCTTTAGGAGCATCCCTGAACCCATAGTAAATTATGTATGTTCTTAAAGCAACATCTGTGGTTGACACTTTCAGTCTAGTTTCCTCCCAGCCAACAATTTTACCTACTGGAGTCATCTCAAATTGCTTTTCATGATTATCTTTACCTGTTCCATGGGAATTTGACAAACTCTGCACCCATCAGTGAAGTGCATGTACAGCTGTGAACGTGTCAGGAGCTGTAATGTTGAGCCACACAGTCTCTAGCCCTGTGCACTGTGGGCTGAGAACCCTGTCCCGATGAAGGCAATGCTGTGCTGCTGAGGGACACCCTGGCAGCACCAGTCTGCCTAAACAGGAACCCCCAAAAGGGCTCACCTCCAAATGTGCAGGGGCAAACAGTAAGAAACAGCCTTGGTCCATGTCTGCAAGCCTTAGAAACTATATTTACTTAATCTCCTTCTCCAGAGTGCCCTGCAGGAACATACGGCTATGGCTGTCGCCAGATATGTGACTGTCTGAACAACTCCACCTGTGACCACATCACTGGGACCTGTTACTGCAGCCCAGGATGGAAGGGGGCACGGTGTGATCAAGGTAAGAGTGTTAGGGTACAGTGACTGCTGCCTCTCCTTTGTGACCACCATGTATCCAAATGATGTATTTTCGTGTATGTGATCTAGTGTAATCTTCATTACAATTCTGCATGGCATAACTGGTTGCTTATTTAGTTTCAGGTGGATGCCTTAGTGTTGCTGCCCTACAGATAAAGAAATTGAAGTTTAGAGAGGTTATGTGATTTGTCTAAGGTCAGATAGCTAGTATATGAACTCTTTCAGAGCTTTGATGATAGATTTTTCTTATTCCAAAACTCATGAACTGCCTACTGAGCTTATATTTTTTTTCAGCTTTATTGATGTATAGTTAACATGCAACACACATAAAGTATGCAATTTGATAAAATCTAAAATATGCATGTGCTCATGATGTCTTGTCATAATTTGACAATATTCATCTCCCAGTAAGTTTCATCACATCTCTTGCAACCACTACTATCTGTTAGGCCCCAGTAATCTCTGATCTGCTTTTTGTCACTATAGATTAGTTTGCATTTTCTAGAATTCCATATAAATAGATTCATATTGTATTCCTTTATGTCTTGTTTTGTTCAGTCAGCACAATTATTTTGAAATTGACCCATGTTGTTTTATAAATCAATAGTTATTTTTATTGCTAAGAACTATTCCAATTATGGATATATTATAATTTGGTGACTCATTCAGATGTTGGGGGACATTTGGATTTCCATCTTTGGCTATTACAGATTAAGTTGCTGTCAATAAGAGTGTACTTATCTTTGTATGGTGTGTGCTTTCATTTCTTTTGGGTAAATATCTGAGAGCAGAATGATTGAGTCATATGGTATGTTAAAATGTTTAACATTTTAAGAAATTTGCTCCCTTGGTCTTTAAGTAGGTTTTTAAGTAGGATAATCACTGGGAGTATTTGTAACATACATAGTCTCACTTGGGCAATTCTGCAGATGGGGTTGATGGAGGCTTTGAAAAAGTATTTCTGCTGGGACTGAAGCTGCCTTCCAGGGATGGCAATAAGCTAGTGGGCAGTAAAAGGCTTAAGAAAATTTCTACAGTATTGTAGGTGGAGTCATCTTGACCCCAAAACCATGTATCATATTTCAACATTTAAATTCTTTCACAAAATAAGTTCTGCATGCTCGTTGTTTGTATTTAAATGTAATCACAATTAGGTGTTATATTTTGTGGTTGTATAATTATTACAAATGCACTGTAATCTCACTACAATAGCCTCAGTTCTCTTGTCTCTGGGAAGACTGCCCTATAACAAGATCTTCTACAGTTAAAAATCGTAAGATCATTATTTGAGCTGAAAGCAGCTATATGGAGGTCTTTACCTCATTTATAGATGATGAAGCCACAGCTTCAGAGCTTTAGGAAAAATTCAGATGCTTAATTTCTTGACTCTCTATTGTATCTTTAGCTTCTTCACTTAATGAAAGTGGAATTTTGAGTTTAATTAATAAGGGTGTAGGGTGATATCAAGTATTTTCAGGAGGAATATTAATGTCATGAAAAATAACTTCTTATGTCTTCTGAGGTTAAAAGCTCATTGGAATGAGCTAATGAACTAGATTTATAATAGAGTTATCTTGTTTGGTAGGACAATCACTCTTAGAAATACTAAGGATAAACATAAGATTAAGTTAGACAGTTGGATATTTAGGATTTATGCCTGTATGAGCTCAGTACTGAATAATAAGTAAAGCAAAATAAAAATTAGGTAATTATCTCAAATTAGTCATCTGTCTGAGTGTTTAATTTAAAATCTGTGAAAAGAATGCAAACTCTACTGCTGAATCTTAGGCTCAAATCTTGTCCTTTTGAGACTTGGAAAAACCTTTCTCTGGGAATAGACAAGTGAACATCTGAAAATGTAGAATGTTTGTTTTTCTTTCCTATTCCATTTCCAAAAGCTTCCAAATTAACATTTCATGAACCAGTAATATCCAGGCATTATCACAGCAGGAGATTTTTTGTAAATAGAGATCAAACATTTATCCAGCCCACTATCATCCTTACTCAATCTCTTCCTCCTTTATCCTAGCTGGTGTTGTAATAGTCGGAAACCTGAACAGCTTGAGCCGAACCAGCACTGCCCTCCCGGCTGATTCCTACCAGATTGGTGCCATTGCGGGCATCATCATCCTTGTCCTTGTTGTTCTCTTCCTCCTGGCATTGTTCATTATTTATAGACACAAACAGAAGGGGAAGGAGTCAAGCATGCCAGCAGTTACCTACACTCCTGCCATGAGGGTCATCAATGCAGATTACACCGTTTCAGGTGAGCCTGGAGTTGCAGGAGGCTTTTGACTCCTTGGAAAGTGAGGCTTCATTCTGCTTTCTTTGAAATTGGGTGTTTGACTCTGCTGCCCCTTGTCTCTATCAATTTTCCAGGGAAGTACTGCTTATTCAGAAAAGGTATAAATTGTTAGAGATGTGTTTTACATCTCAACATAATAAGATCATCACTGTCATTTTTCGTGAGGATTATAAAAGTGGCCTCACTGTGAGGTTACTTTGTATTTAGGGATTTTAGGCTGTGCCATGCGCCAAGTTCTGACATATGTGAGGAGGGAGGGAAGGATTAGCAGCTCCCAAGTTTTCCAAGGTCACAGAGCATATCAGGGAAACAGACAGAAACTTCTTGTGTCTCTCGTCTTTAGTGCTTCCCTCAGTCCATCCAGCCTCTTCCTAAGCCAATACAAGTCATCAACTGAAGGGACCCAACTTATATAAGAGACTGACAATAATTGAAGAAGTCCTTTAAGGAAGCTCTTTTGAAACTTTCTTTCTGTCACATGTCCCATAAAAGAAAAAAAAAGATTTTGACACAATCATTTGAAGAAGTAACCACTGAAACTGAAGAATTTGAAAAGTTAAAATCTTTGTAAATTTTGGGACAATTACTGAAAGATTTCAGGCTGGTTACATGTTTATAAATATTATGATCTGGGGGGATATGTAAAATAGCTGACTTAAATAGTTGTATATTTGCAGTGCAGAATTATTGTACCAAGAAATCAATAGTTGTCTTTTCTAAAGAGGACAGTTATGGTAGAAGTAGCTTCAAAGGATGCCACCCCACTCTTAGATGCCCCCAAGACTGTATGCTTTCACACTTTTCAAGGAGGCAGGTAGAAGGGCAGATACCTGCTGCTCCCAGGAGCTTTGCTAGTGAGCTGTGTAGGACAAGGTGTTGCCCAAGCTTGCTATATGGGAGTAGTTCCAAAGTTTGTTCTGTTATTTTGATTTCCTGTTTCCCACATGGATTTCAGGGAGCCTTCCATCTTAACCATGTCCTTTCCTCCTTGCAGAAACCCTGCCCCACAGCAATGGTGGAAATGCCAACAGCCACTACTTCACCAATCCTAGTTATCACACACTTACCCAGTGTGCCACCTCTCCTCATGTCAACAACAGGGACAGGATGACCATTGCCAAGGTAGGAGGAGATTTCTCAAGCCTTAGAAGGTGGGGAGGGGAGAAACAAAGAGACAGCACATGATGAGGGCTGCTGTTTGCCAGGTGCTGCTCTAGGTGCTTTACATACATTGCTTACTTGATTCCTCCAAACAGTACTGTGCGTGTATCTTAGCATCTCAAGGGTACTGATGAAGATCTGAGTAACAGGGAGTTTGGGTCACTCCAAAGCCCTGGCCTCTATGAATGAGACAGCTGCTGTGAGAGTCAAAGTCTTCCTGTCTGTACCATCCATACCCTTTGCATTATACCTCCTTGTAAAATGTTTTTAATTTTACATGAGATTTTAGAAAAACATCTCATAGGAACATTAATAAAAATATAAAAGAGCTGTTGCAGAATCAACCCTATATAAAACCACCAAGTTTGTCTTTTCTGATCACGTGTCTTCTATTACCCTTTCCTATTTGTATTTAAGTAACAGCAAGAATAATATGCACTTATCTAGGTTGAGCCATATAAAACTGTTATTTTTGTAGGTTAAAACTGGCCAACAAGCTAATCGCTTTACAAATATATAATCATTTAATCTTCATGCCAGTCAGGAATGGTTACTATTCCCATTTTATACATGAGGAAACTGATGCACACACAGGTGAGAGACTCAGCTGGGGCTGCACCTCAGTTCCTCCCCGCAGTACTCTGAACCCCCCAACTTTCTCCCTTCCAGGTGTACCCCAATTATATTTTCAGTTTTCTGTGAGTGGCTCCCCATTTTCCATCTATCCATTTGAATAAAACCAACCTAATTAACTTAATCCTATTATCATTAAATTAATCAGCAAGATTTTAATTATGGTGCCTCATTGTTAAATGGCACTTCATATTATCCAGAGATGTTGGTATCCACCAGGCCATTTGTTCTCATGTTAATCAGGAAGGAAAGAAAAGCAGATCATCTGGCCCTCATTTTGGTGCTCCAGAAAACTGCTGAGTTACTTAGACTCACACTAGATCATACAGATTTTGATAAGAAAGCTTAGACAAAGAATTTATATTTTTCTTCAACTCAAAGTTCCATATATATAAGCATAGAGTTTAATAGGCACAAGGTAAGAGAGTGAAATGAAGAAGTTCAGATCATGAAAGGTATAGATGGCCTGAGGGACCTGCATTCTTCTACCCTCCAGGAAGTGTCCTGAGCGCCTTGCTCAGCCTCTGTGAGCTGTGGAGTTGATTTCCCCAGACAGTAACACAATGCTGAATCACACTGTATTCTCATCTTAAATATTCTATCATTTGTGTTTTTAATAGTCAAAGAACAATCAACTACTTGTGAATCTTAAAAACATGAATCCTGGGAAGCGAGGCCCAGCTGTAGACTGCACAGGGACACTGCCGGCAGATTGGAAACATGGTGGCTACTTCAATGAACTCGGTGCGTTCTCCCTTCCTGACCCAGAGCACACTTGTACCTTCTCCTCACCCAGCATGGTTACAGAGCTGTAACTGTGTCACCATGGTCTACTGCAAACATGCACCGAAAAACAAAATAGCAAAATCACACCTGACACTTGCTACAGGGCTTACCACTATCTAAGGGCTTTATCTGTTCAACAAACAGTTATTGAGCTCCTACTATCTGCCAGGAATGGATTAAGAGACAAAGATCTCTGCCTGGTTGTAGCTTACATTCATTCTACACATTTTAACTTCCTTAATTTCCACAAGTACTGTTCTTAATAGGTACTAGTATTAGAGTACTAGAATTATCATCATCTCCATGTGACAGTTGAGAGATTAATCATTAAGAGCTTGAGTAACTTGCACACACCTGATGGGCTGTTAAAAGTTAGGCTGGCGTTTGAACCCTGTCAGCACAATGCCAAACTGAGATTCTCTTCATTTTTTGTTTCTGTTTTTGAAGCAAAGTCTGGCTATATAGTGTTTCTGTTTTTGTTTTGTTTTTGAAGCTAAGTCTGGCTATATAGGTCAAGCTGGCCTTGAAGTCACTATGTAATCCAGATTGTCCATGAATTCATGGCGATCCTCTTGACTTAGCCTTTTGAGTTCTTCTTTGTTCTTTTTCAGTATCAGGCATCACACGTCACATCACTTCCTTTTTTGGATGAGGCAATAGAGGTATCAACAGGAATATAGATCAGTGGTCCTCAAACTTTTAAGTCATGATCCCCTGATGTTCTTAAAAATCATTGAATAGCTCAACATGGTTCTGTTAATATGAGCCATATATTTACCATATTACAAATTAAAGCTGAGAACATTTTCAAATAATTAATAATAAACTAATTCAAGATAACAAAAAACATGTTATGAAAAATAACCACATTTTCCAACTCCCCTAAAAATCAGTGGGAAGGGTAGCACTAGTTTACATTTTTATAATTTAAATTTTAAAAATATCTTTCTTTATAAAAAAATACCTCCCTGCTTTTGCATTCAGTCAGCTATGATCTCACATTCCACCATACACTTAAAAGAGAATTAGAGTGAAAAGATAAATGATATCATTATTTTATTCTGAAAATAATTGTTACCATGTGGAACTTCTGAAAAAGGGTGGGGGTACCTTGTCCACACTTGAACTTCAGTGCTACATCAGTGAGTATGTGGTGCCATTTCCAAGTATGTGACCTTTATTTACAGGGAGGAATTTGATGATGTAACTAATATATATATTAATATTAATAAAACCCCTTATTAATAACAAACCTTATTAATAACAAATCCTTTATAATACATTTATTTGGTGCAAGGGTTGCCAGAAAGCCTAGTTAAATCTGAATTTCAGACAAACAACAAATATTTTAGTATAAATATATCAGAAATAATGCATAAAACATACTCTAAAAATTATTTGTGTTTTGTTAAACTTCAAATTTAACTGATCTTTCTGTGTTTTTATTTGCTAAATCTGGCAATTTTGTTGGGTGGACTGTCCCATTAATCTTAATCAGAAGGTGCATAAACTGAAAACTTGGAGAGGTTAACTTTCTTATCTAAAACTTCATAAAAGAAAAGGAGAAAAACAAGGTCTCGAAGTTGGTCTTCTGATCGCTCCTCTTTGCTTCTTCTGTGAGCATCATGAATGTCAAATTCCCCCAGCCAGACACAAGAGCCAATCCATCTGGGCCCTCGAATGCCTCTTACTGTAGAAACAGAATTGTTTCAATAGAAAAGTGAGTACAGATTTTCTCCCCTCCAGAGGTACAGCTGATATTTCATGGTCTAAACTCTCAACCATAAATCACTTTGGTAGAAGTCTGGTGCAGCCCTTGGCCCCTGGGTAAACAAAAATATTTATTGGACAGGATATTCCAAGGATTTAGGGATCACCTCCCAGGAGCCAAGGGCAAAGGCCAGATCTTTCTTTGATAGGGCTAATTCCTTCCTACGATCCCCTCATCCCACATCCCTGTATAACCCTGCACCTTTCCCACCAACTGGGAGCTGGGATAGACTCTTCACAACACAGACCCCAGAGAGTGTTCCTGAGAGAGGAAAGTATTCCAGTTTCCTGTCCCACAGAATTTGGTATCAGACACACTTTCCTGCTTTAAGGAAGTCATCACCTCCTTTCTTCACTGAAGCATGGTTCCTCAGTGCTCCCCAAAGAACATTACCATCAAAATCTGAGTTTAATTCTAAGAAATGTATGCATGAGAGTGAGGGTATCATTTCCTTAACAATCTCAAATACTTGTTTGCAATGCTCATCACAAGTCATTACTCTCTGCCATTAACATACATCTGTAAAATTCCTTTAAAAGATTGTCAAAAACGCTGGGCCGAAGCTGTGGGTAGTGTCACACATTCAATGGTAGAGTAGTTGACACACCGTTCATTTATAGATTGCTTCAGAAGTTTACAAAAAGTACTCTATTTCATTTAATGATGTCAACAATTGTAAGGCTAGAAGGCAGTTTGTACTCCCTTTTTAGAGATGAGAAAATTGACACTCAGAGAGTTGAGCATCTGGCCTGAAGTCATATGGGTAATAAATTCTTTGTCTCCTAATCTATTGTCTTTTTTTCTTTGTCATAACACACCCCCAACAGAATCCTTGATTCTTATTTAGTATAAACAATGAAATTTAGCACTTACACACCAGTTGGTGTAAAATGAGCTACATAATAACCTGTAATTTTCTTGATAACATTATAAATTTGTGATGAATGGATTTATAACACTATATATATTAAGAGTTATGATTATATGCTTATTTTATTTAAGATGTTTGTGCCTTTCCTGACTTCGGTAAGTGATTGCATTTTCTCATTGCCAACCTACTTCATTTTTCCCAATGTGAGCAGAAATATTTCTCCTCTGACCACCCCCACCACCACTACCACCAAATAAAAGGCAGATATTTTAAAACAAGAAGGCCACCCATTTTAACTATGTAGGCTCATACACAAACACTCCCATACCTGAAAAAGTCAAATTGTTAAAAGCTGAATAAAAATGGTCAAGAGCTTGTATTGGGCTCTAAAGTGTTAATCAGCAGGCTTCCTGCTTCTTGCTTTTAGAGAACATGCTTATAGAGGAGGCAGTAATACCACTGAATAGTAGTTACTGGGAAAGCAATTTGAAAATCACCAGAGCCTTGAAAGAGCTGCCCTTGAGAGTGAGTTCTGAGTTCTAGTCTTGACCGGTTCTTCTCTACTGCACCATGTACACTGATCTGTCTCTCCCTGTGCCTCAGCTTTTATCCTGAACTGATCATCCTTCTGCAAGTCCTTGTAAATGATCAGATGATATATGCACATGCTCACTATGAATTTGAGTTTAGTTTTAAGCATCAGTACATCTGGTATAAGAGATTTGGAATAAAGGCTTGAAAGCAGAAACTTTGGTGGTTCTCTGCAATGGGCAGATCCTCATCCACAATCTTGGAACATCAGATGGATTTTCTCCTCATTTCAGTTCTTATGGGTGTTTTCCTTCCTTTATCACAGGTGCTTTTAGACTGGAGAGAAGCTATATAGGAAAATCCTTAAAAGGTATGGCATACATTTGAGGAGGAAATAGGTATAATAAAATCACAATTTAAAAAATTATCTCAGGGACTGAAATAACTTTTTAAACAAGCACAAGTGGCAGGACTGTGGTAATGTAGCAGCAGTGTCTGTGACTACTACACCAATACAAAAACACATTTGATGATGTCAAGAGAGTGACCATGGGTGGATCTTATTAGGGCAAAAGTCTTGGAGACAAAGGTTTCAGATTGAGGAGGAAATAACTCTTGGCTTATATGGTGAAAGAAATGTAAAATAGGAAGAGTATGGCGTATACTGAGACAAAATACCTGATAGCTGCAACTTAATGGAGAAAAGGCTTCATTTGACTCATGGTTTCAGACGTCCCAGTCCGTGGTCTCTAACAGCTCTGAGGCAGAATGTTGTGGCAGAGGGGTATGGTAGAAGAAAGCTGCTTAACTCATGGCTTTCAAGAAACAGAGCAGGGGCAGGAGAGAGAGAGAGAGAGAGAGAGAGAGAGAGAGAGAGATTCATCAAAGGCATTCCCTTAGTGACCTACTTCCTCTAACCAGGCCCTTCCTAACAGCACATTCAGCTATGAATTCAACAATGGATTAATCCAGTAATTAAAGTCAGTGCCTGTGATTTAATTACCCTCCCAAAGTCCCACCTTTGCACACATGAGCATCTAAGGGGACATTGTTAATCAAAACTGCAATACAGGGGAGAAGGATGATTATGTGATGATGGTCTGTCCTTCAGAATGAGTTTAAATGATAAGTTTATTGGTACTAAAGTTTTACAGGGAATTGTCACAATACAAATGCCTTTCTTATCATGACAGTAGAACCATCTTGTGCTCCTGAGGCCATCAACTGGTGGTTTCTAGACTGAAAATTCAAAGGCTTCAATTAGTAAATTTTCTATTAGTGAAACTGAATAGGATTAATCATATTTGAGTGTGATCATCAAAATTAAATCAGATCCATAGTGTTTTCATTGGTACATCCCTTAGAGAGGAGCTAAAATTACTTTGCATGTGGGTAATTTGACAGCAAATTGCCTCCAAAATAAGTAGAAAATGTATAGCATTATTTTCAGTAGATAGTTGTAGAAATCTAGCCATAAAGAAAAAGAAGCAACCTACCCAAGTAAATTATTACCAAGAAATGATGTTGCCCATGAAAAAGCATTTGCTTTTTTTCCCTCCAACTCTCTTCACAGATCTGGGGAAGAATTCTGAATATAATTCAAGTAACTGCTCCCTGAGCAGTTCAGAAAACCCATATGCCACTATTAAAGACCCACCTGTGCTTCTCCCTAAAAATTCAGAGTGTGGCTATGTGGAGATGAAGTCACCTGCGAGAAGAGATTCCCCATATGCAGAGATCAATAACTCAGCTTCAGCCAGCAAGAATGTCTATGAAATTGGTGAGTTCTCCTAACCATAGAAGTGTCTAATTTGGGGGGGAACACTTTTAAATGGCTAATATTTTAGATCTAATCTGTATTTATAATGATCATATTAATTAATATCAAATGAATTTTTCAGAAAAATATCACTTAGTAATTTTAAAGTAATTTTCCTTAGCTTCCACGTGGTCACCCATCTTTTATTTTATAACCCTGGTAAATATTTTAGCACACATGTGGAGTTGCATATGTGCCATATTAGCTTATATATTGAGTTGGCCAAAACAAATGCTTGAAATGGATTAAACAGGTGACTCCATATTCATAATATTAATATAATGCTCTTAGCAGAACTGGAACATTTTATTTCAAACTTGTCTAATATATCTGTAATATTCTCAGAGACAAATCTAATACCAATTAGTAAAAAAATTCAATTTAAAATTATAGTTATATTGATTGTCCTTTGTGAACATGAATTGTGAAAAGAAAATATACCACGGCCACCATGAGCTTGACAGTAGGGCTATTTTAATTTCCCTCTGTTACTAACTCTCTTAATATCTTGCTATTCATGATTTTTATTTTGAAAAATTCTCTACAACTTATAAATTAAGTGACAAATTTAACACTAGAAGTTAATTTTATGTCATAGACATGTCACTGAAAAAAAAAGAAACAATTTATCTTTAAAACATTAAGATCGATTTTGTTTGTTTGCTTTTTTTTTTTTTTTTGAGACAGGGTCTCACTATGTAGTTCAGACCGACCTTCAACTCACTATATAGCCCAGGCAGGCCTTGAACTCCCGAGTGCTGGGGTTATAGACATTGGACCCCACACCTGGTTAAGATGGCTTTTTAAAAATGAGAACTACAGTGAACTAAATTTATTTCTTCATAAATCAGTAACAATAACACCTTTAAACTTTCCCATAAATAACAGAATAGGAACTCAAGTCAGGAAGTGAGTCTCGAGTACTAAAGTTGTGAATGTGTTGAATGTTTCCATGGGTAGAGTTAACCTTTAAGAACCTCAGTCTTCTCACTTGCAGAATCAGAGGTTTGGATGAGATTGTTCTCAAGGTGGTTTTAAACATTGGCTCATATCCAGGGTTTTGTTTATGACAGTTTCCTCCTAACCATGTGGTTATCCTTTTGTGTTGAACAGCATGTGTGTGGGGGTGTTAGTTGGTCCAACTACAAAGTTGCCACTCCATATGATTATAAAAGAATTATGTTTCTTCAAAAGTAGTATTGACTTATATTTTTATAAATGTACCTCTTGTGTGTTTGATATTTATAAGAAATGCCATATACTTTTTTATAAATTTCCCTTGCTGATAAGTTAATATGTCCCCGGTTATCACAGAACCTACAGTGAGTGTTGTCCAAGGAATATTCAGCAATAATGGGCATCTCACTCAGGATCCATATGACCTCCCAAAGAACAGTCACATCCCTTGCCATTATGACCTATTGCCAGTCCGGGACAGTTCATCCTCCCCCAAGCAAGAGGATGGTGGCAGCACCAGTAGCAGCAGCAGCAGCAGCAGCAGCAGCAGCAGCAGCAGCAGTGAATGACACCAAAGAACGATGGGGTGACCACTGGAAGCCTTTCCAGAACTGCAGTTCAGTTATTCTCCATTCAAGTTTGCCTCCTCAGTGAATGTTAATCAACTTGGTAGGCAATTGTTGGACATGAATCAGAAAGCGCAAAGCTGAGGCTGGCACTGGTTATAGGTGCTGTTTGTACAGGTGGCTTGGAAGGAGATAGCACTGTGATTTCCTGTTTGTTGTTAGTTTTAGAACTGCACCTGTGAAGCATGACTTATTGTAAGATGTTGGCTAAAAGTTTGAACTTGCAGAACTCTTTCAGAGACATGGGTTGCAATGGACCTTGGTATTATTACTTGGAAAATTACAACTTAAATTTTTTTTCTCATTTGCATCATAGTTATGCCTAGGATTGTGCAGTTTATCAGAAATTTGCATCATGAAAATGGAAATCACTAAACATATTGAAGACAAGGCGCATATAGTTGAGTCCTTTTTGCTTAATATTTTCCAGCTGGACTCAGAATTGTAGGAATTGTATGAATGGAGAAACATTCTGTCAGGTAGCAATGCTGGATAAATGGAACAAACACTAGAAATGGTTAGCAAATTTAAATATTAAAATGTAGGGCTTTTTAGAATGAGGACACGCACAATTAGAATTATTTTAGAAATAGTAGAAGTATTGCAGAAGTCAATATACCAATATACCGGCAGAGATGGACTTTTTCTGTGTGATCCTCGGCCCATTTTGGATCCATGACATTATTCTGACCACTGTCCCCATCATGCATATTCACCATTTGAGAAACATAACATCAGTAATTATTTCATAAATCTAGAAATGAAATAATTTTATTTTTGACAGACTGGATCGAGTGAGTGTGTAATGATCAGTAAAAGTTGTAAATTTTATGTGCAAGAAGATGCTTCAGTTTTGTCAACCATTAGTAATACATGATGTAATATAGAATTAGCAGAAAGTTTTGATTAATTTTTCCCTAAAAGTGACCTAAATATTTTTGTGCATATTCGAAAAGGAGCACTTTCCTTTTATTAATTGTTAATTTAGAGAAACTATGCTTAAGCTGGTCTTTTGCATTGCTAATATGACATGTACCCCATTTTTCATTAATTTGTATTTTCATTAAGTTGTATATTCTATGTTTTGTAGTGTTTGGATTGTTAATGAAAAGCTATTGTATGTTCATTTTTTCTGTATTATTGCCATTCATCTTTTGCTTGATTAAAATGTATTTTTTTCTTTTAGAGGGAAGAAATGAAAACATATAACTTAAAAATTGGTCATTACTAAAATAGCACTGTAACTATAAATGAATAGCTTATGATTGAAATGGAGAAGCTTCTGAACATCCCAAAACAAAATGTCTTTTGATCTTTGGGTTCCTCGAGTCTTGGTTAAATAGGAGGAAAGAGAACACCGAACTCTACAAATGGATCTTCGTAAGACTTAAGTTATGGTCATCGTATAATTGTTCATCCAAGCTTGGACGCTTTTAGAGTGAGGACATGATTAATGGTTATCCTGCAGTGAGCTTAAGCCTGCACTATTCCACGTGCATCAGAACAGATGCTCATCCTGTGCACACTTACTTACACTTTTCACTCCAAGGTAGTTATCTTGTAAGAATGTCAAGATATACAAGAAGGCCAGTTTTCCTTCTTTGATCTGCCCAAGAAAGCAGAGGGACTGAGAGGCTGAATAAGGAAGCAATTGTAAAAATTAAAACAGTGGTCTTCCATCTTTTAAGACATGAAACCTTGTATGATATTCTATCTGAGTGAGTCGATAACATTTTTTAATATATTGCATGCCAGTAGTGTTCATAAGGCATTGTCTCTGCCAGTTAGTGAGTTAAGAAATCCACTTATTTCATGCCACATACTTGGACACATAATGGTTTATTTGGTCAGGTGGATAGCACAACAAATGTACTTAGCACACTCGCTCTTATGATGGCTGCTTCTTTTAAGAACCCTAAAGTTAATTCAAATAAATAAGTAATTTCCTGGAGCACACCTTAGAAACAATTTACTTATTCCAATAGTTATGTTGACCCTCGACTCTAGGGATAGGCATCAAATGAGATGCAAGTAGGTTAGTGCCCACAGGAGTCCTTTTAGGTAAGAAACAAAATAAGACATTTTCCCCTTTCTTTTGAAAGGAGCATCCCTTCAGAGCTCCATGGTGTGTCCCCATTACTCCCTGGAGATAGGTTTTAAAAATCTGTTTCTTTTCTTATTCTCTTATTTAAAAAAAAAACAACTTCATGTGCAAAGGTAGCAGCAATAAAAGTCTGGACAACAGATGTGAACTCCAAAGGGCTAGTGATGTCCTGAAACATTTGTATGTGAGACAATTCTAACTTAACAGAGTTGACTCCGAACTTTTCAAACATTGGAACACATGTAGCACTTTGAATATTGTAAAACTGTGTGTTATACTTCAGAGGTCTTGTTGAAAGGCAACTTTTAAAGATATTTTTATATAATTTCTCTCTTATATCCAGAAGTAGTCAAAGCACTGAATGAGTTTAGGGATGCCTAGCAAAAGCCATTCATATAAGAATGTGAGCCAAATTATTATTCTTTCTTTAGAAGTTGATGTCTCAGAAAATTATAAATTATTTGTATTTATATATAAATCATCAAATCTTGCCCAACTGATAACTCACGTGCTTGCTTTAATGAGAAGGATATGTTATCTGTGGTTAATCATATGATGATATGGAAACTTTCATAATTATTCATTATTTGACATTAGTTTCTCCCCTATTGCACATAGTAGTGTTAACCTAGAGTTTAATGTGTTTAACCAATTTGAGGAAAATCAACCATATAATTTTATAATAGGACAATATAACCTGTCTGAACCAAATCCATTAGTACAATATATGTTGTGAGAAATGCAAGCAATGTTATGAAAATTTGGTCATCTTGACCTCAGTGAGTCACAGTAGTGGTAGATTGGAATTTTTTTAACCATAAATATTGCAAAAGTTAGCGACTGGCCAAACTTTGATATTGCTCTATCCCACACTGTTCAGAGTCTCAGATATATGTATTTTTGTTGTATATTGTTTGCAAGGTTCCAACTACACTGGACAGTTTAATCAACAATTTCCAGGACAAGTAAAACAGCAGAATATTCAAGAGTCACAGCAATATAATTCATGTTGCTATTATAAGTTCACTTTATACTTAAAATAAAACTTTTAAAACTTGAGTTTTAAGATTACGCTTTTAAAAATAGTGAATCTCCTATCTCTGGGTAATATGTCCTTAACATTTAAACTAAATATTTAGAAAATATTTGGGTCTTACAGGCTTTCTGTCATAGAAGTGTAAATAGATATAAAAATGTGAATCACATGATATGGACAGACACTTGTTTATTACCTACAGTTGTACAACAAGCTGCCCTTTTATAGACCCGTTGGTATTGGTATCCTAACAATGGGTCTGCTTATTTTAGTTCAGTGTTTAATAGAAGATTCATTTTGATAATACCAAATCATGATATATATATTTTAAGAGGAAAAACTCAAAATACATTAGGATTTATTTGATTACAGCAAACAATTCTTTCAGTGTTGAATATCTCTATTTTCCAAAGATGGTGAACTTTTACCAGTATTAGTCTACATTGTCATTTATATCACCAAATGAGTTTGTAGATTAATGCAATAAATTTTCTAATAAAAATTTCTAAATAGTGCTTATTTCTACATATGACTCCACTGTTGAATAATGAAGGAAAAGATTTATGATCCTACTGGATAATTAATAATTTTGTCATGTGTGGCTTCATAGCATTTTATATATACATTTGAAAACCAGTAACACTGTTATATTCAATTGCTGGTGTGTATGCTTTTCCTTCAGATTGCTTGTTTTTAAGGAGAGAAGCAACATTTTATTTCTATATGGATTCTTGGCCAAGTCATGTTATCTTATGGGGATTTGCTTTTTAATTTCAGTGTCTGTTAATGCTTTTGTTAATAATTAAACATCATTGAAACATTCACTTAGAATGCTATGTCCCAGGGTTCACAGATAGATAAAACATTGTTTCTTTTCCCGATAGCTGTTTATTTGTTGGGCATGAATGCCAGGTATAGCAGGGGATACAGAGAAGTGTGGCATGAGCTGCCTTCAAGTGTTTATTCAGTTAGGGAAATAAAACATCTTATTAGCTGCATGAATTTGGTAAGTACTTAATCTCTCAAGGCTTTGGTTTCTATGTGTTAGTGTGTTGGGAATAATAATACCTATTTTATAGGATATTGTGGAGATTAAATAATTTTATACACATATATTTATTTCAGTTCCAGGCATGTAGTAGAAATTTAGTAAATGTTAGCCAACATCACTGTTATAAAAATTATCTAATAATGTAAGCTAGTTTTCAATAATCCAAATCAGAAAAATCAGAGAAATCCGCAGAGGTATTGAAACCCAGCACACTATCTGCATGAAGAGGCTGAGAAAGATCACAGACACACAGTGAGAACACTGAGGTCTATAGAGAATAAGAGACTAAATCATAAAACTACAATGGCTTTCTATTATGGAGGTGGAGCTAATGCAGAAAATGGAAGAAAATCTAGATTAAATGTGATGTAAATTTCTTAAATGGATATAAGACCGGAGAAGGCTTCCTGGAACTAAAAATAAATATTTCCCAGTTAAAAATTCATTAGAGGAATGGAAAAACAAAAACAGTACTTCCTGCTGAGGCTGAATTCATATTTTAGAAGATGAAATACAATAAGGAATAAAATTTCAAAAATGGAAATCCTGGATAAGAGGAAGAATTGTTCCACCTGTACTAATAATTAAGCAGTCATTGACCCAAGAGAAGAAAAAAAGGGAATAATGGAGAAATAGTAATGAAAGAATAATAAAAGTTTCACGTGAGTCTAGAGCTTTCAGATCTTTTAAATATGAAAAGGTATACTAGATTAATGCAATAAAATTAATGAAAAAAATATGGAGGAAGTACATCTTTATGAAATTTCTGAACTTGAAAGACAGAAAAGATGGCCAGGGATTTAGTTCAGTTTTTCCACCACCTGCTTTGAAAGCACAAGGTCCCAAGTTCAATCCTTGGTACCAAACAACAACAACAACAATAACAACAACAACAACAGCAACAAAACAAAGAAAGAAAAGCAAATTTAAAATCATACAAGCAGAATGAGCAGGTTGCTTACAAAGGGACGAAAATTAGATCAAATAGAGAATGCACAGGGTTGGAGGATGAATGGGGAGGAGGCCACGGCAAGGAAGAGCAGTGACTGTGGAACAGAGTTGGGTAGGTTCCTGTTGTTCTGCTGCAGCAAAATTGCATCTCTTCCAGGACATCACAGCCACCTTCCACTAGATTGCTAAACAGCCCCCATTCATTCTGCCTCAAATCTCTGGACCAAGCTAGTCTATACCAGACAGGGACAGTGGCCTCAAGAAGAGGAGAGGGAGCCAGTGTGGTGGACTAGCATGGGATAAGAAGCTAGGGATACAGAAACACCATTTATCATACTTTGTTGAATTGCTGTTAAAGAATCAGTGAAAAAAAATTCAAGGACAAAATTGGTGGAAGCCTTGCATGGCTCTTGGGTAATGGCATGTTATCCTTCCTCTTATGTTGATAATATGGCCTTCTTTACCAACTGTCAACAATAGAAAATCCAAGTAGGCCACAGAGTGGTCACTCTGCCATGGTATAATTGATAATTAGAATATGATGTAAAACTGTATGGAACAAATGATTTTTAAACACCTAAGAGCAGAATTTCAAGTCTATTAACATTATAACACTCCACTAAGCAGAGAATATACTGCTGAACTACTGTTGGAGTTTCTTCTTTTTTAAGGGTTTTAGCTAGTTGTACAGCTGCATCTTGGACATTAGGATAAGTACGAGAACAGACAGAAACATTATCCTCTCTAGAGGTCCAACTATGATCAGGACCTTGAGACATTGCTATCTAAGGGTCTGGAAGAGAACCATGCTAAAATTAAGGTGAAGAGTTGGGAGACTATAGACCAAACCTGAAGTGTGTCAACACAGTACTTGTTATAAATCACATGTAGTTTTGGAAGCTCAACACTGGCTTCCATGGTTGAGTTCTTCCAATCAAGGCACACCACACGGGATTATGAAGAAAACAGATCTAGCACTTGTCGTCACATTCCAACGTTTGGAGTCATGTAGTAAGGTTTATTTGATCTTTAGTGAGAAGGAGATCTTTTTTTAGTACCTATTTTGTGTGGTTGGCTTATAAACCTAGCTTGAGGACTGTGTAGCTCAAAGGTAGAGCTTGTGTCTAGCATGCAAGAGACCATGGGTTTGACTCCCAGCACCACCACAGCAAAAACAAAAACAAAATCAAAAGCAAAGCAAAACAAAACAAAACAAAAACCTATAAGACCCAATATAATAATGTTATGAGTATACTCAGAAGTATTTTTTGCTTCAGATTAACTAAATCTTCTGTGTATCTAAAAGAAGGGATATTAACAAATATCCCCAAAGTGAATAAAATTTACTAACTCAAGATAATGCTTGAATTATACATATACACCTGTAGGTACAAAATTTTTTTTATTTTTCACATGTATGAGAAAAATACAATAAATCATTGTTGTTTTTAAAGAAAAAAATTAACAGTACCCTCATCTTATATATACATTTACAAGACTCTAGTTATTATCATTTAAAATTCTCTTCCATCAAGTCCTCAACACATGGGGGTGACCTGTTTTCTAGCCAATACGTTTGGAACTAAGAAACTAGTGGAGACTATTTAACTTCAGTGTGTATATCTATAATATCTACTAACTCTGGTACATGTGGTAAATGGAAAATGGGGTCAACATAAAGTGGAGGTAGGGTTAGGTAGGACACAATTTTTCTGAGGCAAAGGAAGGTAGAAGAGTGGGTGTCAAATTAAGTCTTCAATAGAAAAGGAGAAAGCTTTCATCTCAGCTGTTGCTTTATCATCACTTCTTGAGAAAAGTCTTTCCTGACCACTTATGTCGTAGAGAACCACTGTCTTATATTCCACTACCCTGCTGGACTGTCTTCACGAGGCTTATTGTCTGAAGTCATATTATTTCATTGTTTTGTTAATTTATGCATTGTTTGTCTTGCTAACTAGAATGTTACCTCAATGAGGGTGAGATTTTTTTCTGTTTGGTTCGCTGATATACCGCCATACTCAAGTGTCTGGCATATGGCAAGGATTCATTAAATATTGACTGACTAAATAAATGAATAATGAAATCTCCCAAGTGCTCAAGCACTATCTGTTTTACCATTGAACACGTCTTTAATGCCTTGTAATAAAAGATGTTTAACACTTTCTAGCTCTTCTATGGAGACCAATATATACATTTCAGGAGAAGGCATTTTCTCCATTAACTCTGTTCCTTTCTTCAGAAATGCTTCAATGGCTTTTCTTCAAGCAATAGGGTCCAAAAATTAAAGATGGTCTTCCAAAACTACTTGTCCTTAACTTTCTTAGAGCTACTTATTCAGTCTAGGACTCTATCTATTGAACTTCACTTCCCTCTCCATCTTCTTATTAGGATCAGACTTGTTTCAGGTTAGAGACAATACATGACTGGTGTAGTTAGGTAAAAACATTCCTTGTGAAATATGTCCTTTAGAGACATCTGTGGTGGCACAAGCTTTGTGGTGGTATTCTGATTTCCTTACTTAAATCCACTGCTTCCTCATTTCCTTGGTCTCAGTCTGGTGACTCCAGTAATATACTGGTAAATTTTTTCCAAGCAGATCTCTGAAAACTTTTAAAAGGTACTGATTTATAACACTTGCTTGTTCCCAAGATGTAAATCCTTCCTCTTTGGGCAATTTCAAGCTTCCAACATGACATTACTGAATGGAGAGTTAGGAAGAGATGCTAAGTAACTCACCATTATATATTATTTCCAACCCTTGTGCAGAAACACCATCCTATGTTCCACTACAGTAGTTGTAAATAATCTCAAGAGTATAGCTAATTATAAAAGATAGTGAAGTAGTTTAAATTGATAAATTTTGACATAAGCCCAAGCCAAAGGGCTGCCCAGAAAAGAGCTGCACAAGGACACAAACATCAGCCAGAGGCCTGTCCCATATCATCAGTAAGTGCTCACAGATCCCAGCAAGCAGCAGTACGGACCAGAGCAGTGCAGCTGAAGGCAGATCCCAGCCAGGGCTCTGCCCCAACCCCCCACTTCTGTGGGTAACAGGCCCAAGCTAAGGGCCTGCCTGGAAAAGAGCTGCATAGGCACACAATCAACAGCCAGAGGCTCCCCTGATACCATTGGTAAGTGTGTGCAGATCCTGGTGAGCAGCGATGTGGACCAGAGCAGCCCAGTTTCTGGCAGGTCCAGCCAAGGCCCCACCCTGACCTTCCACCACCTGGGGAAACAGACCCAAGCTGAGGGCCTGCCTGGAATAGAGCTGCACAGGTGGACAAGCAAGAGCCAGAGGCTTGCCCCGATACCATTGGTAAGTGCATGGAGACCCTAGCTACAATCCCACTCAAGACACCAGGGACTGGGGTGCACAGCACCCAGCCAAAGGCCCTCCCAGACAACAGCTACATAGGGAGGCAGGCCCTAGCCAGAGGCACACCTAGATACCATCCCAACTGTGCACAGAATCCAGGCAGAAGCTCACCCAGACAACAGGTCAGCTCAGTGTTCCAGAAGGCAACTATTCTGAATCAAGGAATTGGTATACTGGTGAGCAGCAGAAAAAAGGCCGCTCAGTGGCACACAAAGAATTGAAGACCACTGGATGAGCAAAAAGTTGCCTCAAGAAAAGCACAGCAGGCTGCATCTGTTGAAATGAGAAGACAAGTAAATAAATGTCAAAACCAGATGCCCAGATCACCTAAGGTGACCCCAAAAGACAATGAGATGGAACAATCTGACATTCAACCACCTGGAAACCCTGAACTGGCAATGAAAGAAGATCTGGAAAAAAGGAAATCAGAAATAATTTCTCAGATAACAACAGAGATTGTGTCATGATTAATAAATCAAGAGCAGACACAGATAAAAAAAATAGAGAAGCTGAAGAACATGATGGAATCACAACATAGGAAACAAATGGAATTCAAAACCATAGATCCCATTTGACCCAGTTATTCCCCTGCTGGGCATCTTCCCAAAAGAATTAAAAGAATCATACCACAGCGATATATGTGCACCCATGTTTATAGTGGCAGTTTGTAATAGCTAAAGCTTGGGAACAGCCCAAGTGCCCATCAACTGGAAACTGGATAAAGAAGATGTGGTTTTTTAATAAAATGGAGTACTACTCAGCCATAAAGAGAGAGAAACTAGAGACATTTATAGCTAAATGGATGCATATTGAGGCCATACACTTAAGTGAAATAAATAGGACACACATGTTTAAATGTAGAATAGTTTCTCTAGTGTGAGAAACTGAAAGTGTAAATAAGAGTTCATATGATTAAAGCCAATAATTGGTAATTTGAAATTGGAAGAAAATGTCCAAAGGGGTAGGGGTATTGGGATGGGAAGGGGAAAGGAAAAATTATGAGAAAAGAAAAGAAATGGAAATGAAGTCTATGTAAATAGGGAAAGGTGGAGGGGGTGAAGGGTGCACAGGTAATGGGGAAAAACTAAGAACCAAGATACATCATGTACAGGTACAAACACCCAATGATACATGTAAATGTATTGTATAGCTAAAATGTGGCAATAAAAGAATTTAAGAAAAAAAAATTTTTAAAACCCAGATGCAAACAATATCCAGGAGATTAAAAATTCCATTGAAACTTTATGCAGCAGAATGAGCCAATGTGAGGACAGAATTTAGATATAGAAGAGAGGATTGCAATTAGTGACCAGGAAAAGAAAAAATTCTTAAAAATAGTAAGGGATCATGAGAAATCAACCCAGCAGCTGCTAGATAATGCAGAGAATAACATACAACTGATGATCAGAGTCAGTGAAGAAACAGGAGAGAGTGCAGACAACATAAAAAATTGTTCACAGAAGTGATGGCAGAAAACTTCCCAAGCAGGGGAAAAGAAATTGACATACAGATAAATGAGGCCTGGAGGACTTCAACTAGCCTTGATCAAAAAAAAATGACACATAGGCATATAATTGTTAAGATTCCAGAAACCCAACAGAAGAACAAAATTCTACAAGCAATTAGAGAAAAGAAACAAATCACATAAAAAGGAGAGCCCATCAGAATCATAGTAGAGTTCTCAACACAAACCTTCAAGGCAAGAGGAGCTTGGAATGACCTATTTCAAGCCTTAAAGGAAAACAGCCTCCAACCCAGATTGATGTACCCTGCAAAACTATCTTTCAAAATTGATGGAGAAATAAGATACTTTCATGACAAAGAGCACCTGAGGAATTTCATGAATACCAAATCAGCACTCCAAAAAATTTTAAGCAATATCCTACAAAAAGACATTGAGGATCACAACCCCAGGAAGCCTAGCAGAATGAACCCATCAGGCACAACAAGAAATTAAATGCAGAGGGGGAGAATCCAACAAAAAGAAAAGGTCATGACAATGATAATTGAATACATATCAGTAATAACCATCAATGTTAATGGTTTCAATTCACCAATCAAAAGAAATAGACTGGCAGAATGGGTCAAGAAGCAAGATCCAATAATATGCTGCATACAAGAAACACACTTCATTCAAAAAGAAACTCATAGACTGAAAGCTAAAGGGTGGAAAACAATACTCCATGCAACAGGAACCCCCAAAAAAGCAGGAGTAGCTATCCTCTTTGCAGATCAAGTGGAATTCAAACCAACACTGATAAAGAGAGACAAAGAAGGACACTACATCCTTCTACAGGGAACAATCCAAGAGGAAGAGATGACAATCACAAATATATATGCGCCAAACACTAGTGCACCCACATATATAAAATAAATATTAATGGACATAAAAAATCAAATAAGCACTGATACAATAGTAGTGGGGGACCTCAATCCTCTCACAAATAGATAGATCAACTAGACCAAAAATAAACGAAATAGTAGAATTCAATCAAACTCTTGAACAAATAATCTTAACAGATGTTAACAAACTGTTCCACCCCACAACATCAGAATACACATTTTTTTCAGCTATACAATGGTTGTTCTCTAAAACACACAACATACTTGCTCATAGAACACGTTTAAGTGCAAAGAAATTGAAGTCATCCCCAGTACATTATCAGACCTTAGTGTGATGAAATCGGAGATCAATAGCAAAAGAAACCACAAGAATTTCATAAACACATGGAAATTGAACAACACCTTTCTGAATAACCAATGGATCACAGAGGAAAGTAAAGAAGAAATCAGACAGTTTCTACTACAATTAAATGAAAATGTCAATACAACATATCAGAATCTATGGGACACAATGAAAGCAGTCTTATGGGGGAAATTCATGGCAGTGAACACTCATATTGGAAAAACAGAGCTAGCCCAACTAAACAACCTGATGCTGAGCCTCAGGTTCCTAGAAAAAGAAGAGCAGGACAAACCCAATGCTCATACAAGAGAGGAAATTATAAAGATCAGAGCAGAAATCAGTGCAATGGAGACTAAGAGAACATACAAAAATCAATGAACCCAAGAGTTGGTTCTTTGAAAGAATAAACAAAATGGACAAACCCTTAGCCAGCCTTATCAGAAAAAGGAAAGAAAAGGCCCAAATCCATGCAATTAGGAATGAAAAGGGTAAAATTACAACAGATCCACCAGAAATCCAGAGGATTATCAATACATACTTCAAGAACCTATATGTCAATAAGATGGAAAACACAGAAGAAATGGACAGATTCCTAGATACATATGAATTACCAAAGTTGAAAGAGGAAGACCTAAAAATTCTAAACAACCCAATATCAATCAATGAAATTGAAAAAGTAATTAAAAACTTACCAAGAAAAGCCTGGGCCCTGATGGTTTCACTGAAATAAGACATTTAAAGAGGAACTACTGCCACTACTGTTTAAACTCTTCAGTGAAATTGAAAGGGAAGCAATACTCCCAAATTCATTCCTGAAAGCAAGCATCACCTTGATCCCCAAAGTAGAGAAAGACCCTACCAAAAAAGAGAACTCTAGGCCAGTCTCACTAATGAACACAGATGCAAAAATCCTTAATAAAATACTGGTAAATAGAATGCAGAATATCATCAAGAAGGTCATATACCCTGACCAAGTGGGATTCATCCCAGGGATGCAGGGATGGTTCAATGTATGCAAATCAATC